GGGGGGGGGGGGGGGGGGGGGGGGGTTGGTTATTATTAGCCTAGAGAAAATCTACAAAACTGAGATGTTATACCCATTGCATTTGGTTGCCATGCGTCCATAGTAAGACAAAAAGAAAAAAGCTCCCTGGTCGACGAGTTCCTCCTATGCACAGCTTACACCGGAAGAGGGTAAGAAGCAGCTCTTACCCTGTCATGAAGCTGACGTTGGATATTGATGATGAAGAACATATTTCACTACTTCGTAAAATGATACCACAATCCCAACCGATGGGCCTGCACGGCCAACACGAGGTCCAACTCCTGCAAATAGTCCTTTCAACCCACCATCCCTGGTTCAAGTCGAATTTAACTTTAGTCATATACAGAAGAAAATCAAACTAAAAAACTAAAGCTGCTTTAGATCATATCTTTGTTACCACAAGGCACCATCAATCGGATAGCTCATTATAGACGAAATAATAATGAAGCCCTTCCAAATTTTTCGTGCTTGATGGAGTATTATCTTCCTAGTGAAACTAATTAAGGATAAAGCATCTCTATAATGAAAACCTACAACAATTTGATAGTCCGAAGTAGTGAGATACCTCCAAACCTCCATTAGAGTCTGCCTTGTTGTCATTCTCAGTGCTCTCACCGGATCCTTCTGAAAGTGTAATGAAAAATAATCAGAACCAGTGTCTAAAACCTTGGATATATCTGTTACATCTTCAAATGTGGACAACAGACCTAATTATTTATAGTTAGAATTGTGTGGGTAGTGTAGCAGACAACATAGGTTAACTTTCTAACAATCCCGAAAGTTCTTAACTCTTACAGGCAACAGGCAATATATTTAGAAAGAAAAAAAAACCTCTATCTGTCGTCGGGTTTTTGCAACATCCAGGGGACATGTAGCTGCAGCAGAAAGACTTCCAGCTACAAAACCAGCAGAAAAGTTGGCCCCAAGCACAGTGGCTGCATTAGCTTCATCACCTACCAATCCAAGGAGTTTCCTTCTGACCTATAAAAATATGAAAGAAGCCCAGTTAAACATAGAGTACCGTAGGTTAAAGATTAATAAAACCTCTCTACAGCTTAACAGCTAAACTCTCACTGGTTCAAGGGTTGACCAACAAATTGCTGAGAATGGAACATCACGTGCAAGTTGCGCCCCCATTCCAGTCCATAGGGCACGATAACTTTTTGCGGCTAAAGTTGAACTAACCAAGGTAAGAAATTGAACCGGAATTTGGCCAGGCATAAAGAATGTTCTTAAAGAAATTAGTATTGATTAGAAATTAACTTACAGACAGTTTCACCATTAGTTGTGCTCTTAACATTGGAGACAACACCGAGTAAAGTCTGCCAGACTCCAGGCGGCTTCTTGCCAACTCGCATCTCCTTAAATGCCTATACATTAAGAAAAAACCATATCATTCATTTAAATGCATGCCACGACATGAGCAACTTCCTATTAATAAAAAGAAATTGTAGTCAAAAGTGTTTTTTAAAATTATTCTTTTACGTTCTAAAATTTTAACTATGATTTTGAAAATACTTCATAAACAAGCTTAATTTATATATATATATATATATAAAACTTCCAAATTAGGCCCAAATGATAAGCAACATCTTAAGGATGATTCAGCTGTGCTTCCAGGTGCTCATATTACCTGCATTCGAGTTCTAGCAAGCTCAATTGGATAACAAGTTGCACAAGCCAAAGACCGTGCCAAAGCACCAGCAACTAAAGGAACATAAGGAGTAGCACTAGGATGATTCTGTGAAGTGATCTCCTCTAACCAATTTCGGAATATGTCATAGCAAGGTAGATAGATTCCCACCTGTTCTTTTAAATAAAAAAGACATTAATCATTACTCGTAAAACTTTTAGACAATGAGAGGGGCGGCCTTGGATTAATATGATGTCATACCGTGGGAACAGCAAGAGCTAGGCCAGCATTTGTGCCTCTCCATAACCTTGCAAATCCTTCCTGTGAATTTTACCGTGTAATGAATACTACTAAAACAAATACATAGTTCATAACATACTTTAACTAGCAGACGCATCTATTTTACAAGCAAATTGTGTTACATCATTCAATACCAGAAGCAGTAGTTTTCAAGCAAAAACAAAGAAATAAATCACAAGTTTATCCATCAGTTAAGATTAACTAGAGAAAATTGACCAACCTGTCGAATGATTTTGTAGAAGACGTCCAACGTCCCTTTGTACTGAAAACAATCAGGAGGACATATTGCTACTGTACCATGAATCCCTGCACGCGCACATGAAGGAGAACACCTTAAATCTGCAAACATCTGGCACAGCATATAGCAATCAAAGATTAATTCAAACCTACAGAGAGATATCAAGTCCAACAAAAAGACAGTAGAAGCATAAAAATATTAAAAAATACAAATTCCAAAATGAAGCAAAACATTAAGAGTAAGATTTGATAATATGATGACAGATCCTCATGCCTCTCGCAGAACATTGTCATTCCCTAAAGGCACTAGAGAATGCAAGCCAGAAAATTGAAATGGCATGCCTAAAGTACTTCTACTAATCAATCCAGATTATAAACTTCACAACTAGAAATAGAGGGACAAACGCTTCATGGGTTTAGGTTCTATGACGTGATTTATGACTAATGGCTTTTGAAGTGAAACTCAATCATCTCCGAGACAAATCAAGTAAGGTATTCATTCCTGGCCCAGAAGAATAAACACAAAGTCAACGAAGTTTTAATCTTTAAATTAAGTGACTATTTGAATTCAATTCAATCTAATTATACATGTTCTCTTTGATCAGATTAGTCTGGGGATTTTAGAAAGAGCCAAAAAAAAAAAAGCTACATTATATCATGTTAACAATAGACAATATACACGTATGGAAAATATTTGCATTAAAAAAAATTAAAAATTAACAAATCATAGAAAGGGAATGAATGCCCTGAAAACTAACGTAATTAGCCAGACATCAAATATCGATACACTGTAACATCATATATCACATAGAAAATACAAAATAAAAAATCAGAAACACGATTAGATTCTAAAGAAGCTATATCCACGATGGAAAAAAAATGAATCAGACTTCTAGGTAATTGAACAAACCGTATTTGGTCCAAAAAATGCCATGCGACTGGTCCAGTCACTAAGTGGATGCGAATAAGGAACTCCAGCAGCTTGAGCTTGCAACCTTGTCTAATAATTCAAAAAACAGAGAAATGATTAGACCACAGAGCACGCTGGGGAGGCCAATAATATATAATCAAGGTTGCAGAACACAAGGGAGAAGCAAGAGCGGCCCAATGTATGCACTGATTCAAGGTCAAATAGTATATAGAAAATTTAAGAACATCTCAAACTGCTTCTACTTTTCAAGGAGCCATCTGTAACTATAAATTTCAGGTTAAACTATTAATTTANTCCTTGAATTGTTTTTTTTTTTTTTAAAAAAAAAAAAAAAAAAAAAAAAAAAAAAAACTTGTTCCCTTGACTATTTTGACTCTAATAAGTACCTGACATTAACATCGATGCTTAAATATTGAATTCACACCTTGATTGAACTAATAAGTGATAATTCTACATGTGCCAAAGTAGCAAGATAAAATGTAAGCAGGCCATGCCAAAAATTCAAAAAGATGGACAGGCACCATACTTTTTTTTTTTTTTTGGCTTGCTCACCCTTACTTTATCTAGGTTAACCATTCCCTTGCTGATACATCTTCTTTCCAATCATCGCTCATTAGCCCAAAACACATACCACGTCAATATTCAAATAGGGAATTGATAAAGTCAAAATCGAAAGTAATATAATTGCTAAGTCCAAGACTAAACTTGTTACTTAACCTAAAATTAACAATAATCCCTTTCCTTATTTCTCCAAAGTTTAAACATTTGAATAAACTGAAGGAGTTGAAGAATCATCAGATCATCTTAAATAGCCCAGTAGGAAGGATATATTTATTAAACCACCTTCCATCCTACGCACCTAAATAAATTTCTCTCAACAAAGAACCGTTTATTCACCAAAGTTCATCTAATCAAGGAATGTTCAAAAACATGCACGCCCGTGGTGTAGAGAGCCAGATAACAATATGATATTTAAAAATTAAAAAACAAACAAAGAGCAGGCTCGTAACTTGTCCCCAAAGGCACTTAATTGACCATATGATTTTACCCCCGCCGTAGTCTTGCAATCACTCCCTCACGATTCAAGTATTTAAAACCTCAAAAACAGAGAGAACTCTGATTCAACATTACCTTGACAACATCAAGAGGATTGACAATAATCGCCGAAAGAAAGGCGGCACCAGCAGCAGAGACAGCGCGTTCTACAACCCCCAATTTACCAGAAGGAGAATTATCATTCGAACACCGAGACGGAGAAGCAGAAAGCCTCACACCATCACTCTCAACAACCAACATCGCAGAATCACGCTCACATCTCTCGATTCTCTGAGCTTCCGCCGCCGAGCCAATCCAAGAACCATGCCCTCGCTCCGATTTGACCATCCTCTCCGCCAACGAGTTCATCCTGCACAATCGAAACACTCGCTTCTCAAATGAAACATCAACAAGAGCCGAAACCCGATAGGGTTATATGAATGGATGAATGTTCATGCTGGAACGGCGATTGCAATATGCAGTTGGAGAATGGAAAAACAAAAACAAACGAGCTCTGCAAATTGCTGGGAGAACAGGAAGAAGGAAGACTCACCAGAAGAAAGCGGAAGAAGAGACGAGAAGAAGGTCCAAGAACTTTGGTTCTATTGCTCCCCGCGGCTTAGGGCCACTCTTCTAACCTTTCATATTGACCTCCTAAATTTCTTAGTAAATACCTAATTATTCGCCCTAAATTCCCTTTCCACACATTTATTTTATTTTCTTTCATTTTTAAATATTCTACTTTAATTTGTTATATTTATTGTATTTATTGGTCCAACCATTTTAAATTTCTACGTAATTCTGATTAATTCTATTTAATTTAGGGTGCGAAATATTATGAGAAAAAGCAAAGTTACCATTTTACCCTCTTCTTCAACTATTTGATTATTTCTCATGAAATTTATGGGAATTTCCTTTGAAATTAAGACATTTCTTAGAAATTTTGTTCAGAATTCCTAAGAAAATATTTGGAAGAAGGTTGTTGTTGATCTAAAATAAGAGGCTAAATTAGGAATTTCAATTAAAAATTATTATTCTATAAAAAATTAAATTAAAATTGTAAAATTATATTGGAAATGTTAAATTTTAAAATTAAGTATCTTTTTTTTTTTTTTTTTGTTATATTTGCTTTTAAGTACTTAGTATAATCTATTTTATAAGTATATAATTATAAAATAATATTTCTTACAGAAAATAAAATAAAATAAGTAACAAAAAAAACGAAAAAAGAAAAAAAAAGTATTATTAAAAAATTGAAATAACAACAAAACAAACAAAAACCGATCCAATAGAGATTCCGTTGCGGCGGCCGGAAGAAAATCGGCCAGAAAATAGGCAGGCGGCGGCACATTTGCCGACGACTAAGCGCTGTCACTCTCCCAATTCCTCTACAGAACCACCAAAGGATCCGAACCCATCAAAATTTCTTCAAAATAATCATGATCTTCTCCTCTTACCGCGGAAACAGGGTCGCCGTCGTCTCCACCGCCGCTGGAGTCATAGCCGATCCGTGGAGTCTTCTGTATTACAGATGTTTGGTACTCGAGAACCAGAGGTGGTTCAAAAAGAATCGATTTGAATATATCGTCGAAGAAGGGGAAATCAACCGCCGGGAATTCTTCGGCAGCGCCACCAGTTGCGGCGGTCTGGAATGGCGGCGAGAAATCGGTGGAGTGGGTTCTGTATTGGAGGACTGACGTTGGAGATGAAAGGTTCGTCGGAGACGATGGCTTTACGGCAGGCTCTGTTAGCGGCAGAGGAGTGAGGAAATTTGTTGGAGCGGCGGATTCCCGGAGTTTCTCGGCGGCTCTGTTGTATACCATGGCGGCATCCTCCGCCGTGTCGTATGTCCCCAACCACATCCGTACACGGCGACCGGGGTCCCGTATCTCCGCCGCCCATTTCCCCCACGGACGCCGCCGGACGCCGCGGAACTTCTTCACATTACCCATCGCCGTCTTTTTATTCTTCTTCTTCTTCGTTATCATCTTTCGGCCACCGCCGCCAATCGGCAGCGTCCCGATGGTGATCTCGCGAATGTAACGCTTCACACGGCGGCGTGTGAAACTCGCACCTTCTTCGTCGCTGGATGACGAGTCGGTGGCCTCCGGATCGATCATCGAGATCCTTACGATTCTTGAACCGGCGGTGTTTTCCGGTGATTCCGAGGTGGGTTTTCGGCAAAGAAAGGTTTGAACTTCCATGGTAGTTTCAGAGCTGAGGGTTAATGGCGGAATCTCTGAATTTGCATTCTAGAGAGAAAAAAAAAAAGGAATAAAGGGAAAAGGAAAACTAAAAGATAGAGATATTATAAAAATATTCAAATGTTTCTCATAATCACTTTCATAAACATTTTACAAAAACTATCTATAACATATAACAATTAACACTTACCTGAGGATTAGATCAAACATTTAGCCACTTACCATGAAAACTGGAATCATCTATCTGGGTCGGTCAGTCATGAAAACCGCAAATTATCTATTGGGTCAGCTATAAATGACTTTAGTTATGAAAACTTGAATTATATATCTCGGTCAACCATAAATGACTTTGTATTAGTAATTTTTTAGAATCACATCATAGATCCATTATAAACACAGAAGATCAAGAGTAAATAAAACTTGTTTATAAACTCCGATTCAAATTATTTTATGAGAGGGTTGATAAATACTACATAAATGACCCTATTATGTAAGTTTACTGAAAATTGTGAGTTTGGTGGAGCTTTTCAAATATCTACTCGACCTACGTATATTTAATATTTAGGGTGACTAGATATGAAAATAGGAGGAAAAAAAAGGAGAGAAAAAAATATGAAATTTAGCTGCATATGTACAAATATCAAATAGAAAGCAAGAGAAGGACGGTATAAAACGACGCCGTTTCTGCTACACACCGATATCTACGCGACACCCAACACAGCTCTTTATTATTTATGTCCTCTTTCTCCTTTTTTTTTTTTTTTCTCCTTTCTTTTTCAATTTTTATTTCCTTCGTAAATTTACTTTTTCATGGCTGAGTTTTTAAGAAATATTCGAACTTGTAAAAGGAGTGTTTATCTACTTTCTTTTTTTTTTTTTTAATTTTAATTAAAACTATAAATTTATTCCATACTTATTTTGAGTTTTAGAAATCAATATAAATTCGGCCATATTTTTTTACATCGAGCCCTATTTTAAAATACTAAAATAATTCATAAATTACAGGTTAAACACTTGGTATGATTAAAGCTCGTGAAACAAACAATAGATTTGTGAACTTCAAAAAGATAAATAAAATATATTAGCCTTTATCCAAATACATTCAAGTCCCTCACTGAATACTCTGATGAATATTCCTTGGAACCCACAATGCACAGAAGGAAGTGTTCTCATCCTAGTTTCTTTTAAGTTTTGGAGTTTTCAAAGAGACCTATGTGGTACTCAAAAGTTCGAATATATTTCAAAGAGACATATATTGGTCCAATCCCTAATAGAACAGATCAGAAAACAAGGGAGAGATGTTCAAGGAGCACGATTACATTCATCCAAAACCCTAAACAGAGCTCACATTATCCATGCATAACAACGGAAAAACATGCTTTTACCTTCTTTCACAAAGCTATTGTTGCACCAAATATTTGGTGCATTTCTTTTTCAGAGGGATTGAAACAGAATTACAATTGCATACAGATTTGCCAGGCATATAAAATGACAATAGACTCCTCCCAACTTACAAGGGGTATGGGGGATTGGGATACGATACTATCTTACCTACCCCATGGCATACTTCTGGGTCCAGCTCCTTGCAGTGGTTTCATACTTGTTCCTGTCTGTCTTGTACATGTGAGCAATCTCCGGCACCAACGGATCATCGGGGTTAGGATCCGTTAACAAAGAACAGATTGATAGCAACACCTTAACAAATCAATGATCCATCCGTTCAATAGAAACTTACAGCCCATGATTCATCAATCAAAATTATAGAACAATGCAGTGCAACAAACCCCTATTAATTCGAACTAGATCAGATTTTCCCTAAATCTGAGCAGGGACCTATTATGTGAAGTTCGCCATGAAAGTGAGAAATCTAATGCAGTGGATAGAAAGCACATCAACTTCATCAAAAGAACATGCTTAAAATAAATATTTTAGTGTACCATTCAATATAGTTACCAACTTTCAACTGAGCCTGAGAGATGCATCAGGCCACATTTTCATGTCTGATTTCAATATCTTAAAATGACCGTTGTGGATGCAGGCAATATTTTTATCATAATTATTATTATGGAGAAAGGGAAACGATGCAGTGTGTGAGATGTGTCATATGATAATTTACTATGATCTTCAATGAAATTTCAGGGGATGGAACCTTAGAAATGGTTAGGGCAGGGCTCCACTGTTCTTTCAATATGTCCAGGCAAATGCTTCCGTTGCTGTTTATATTTGGGTGGAATACCTTTGTTCTGAACGCTACCTGAAAATTTATTATTTATATGAGTTGAACGAACAAAAAGTAGTCATTTTGCATTCAACAATACTATGGATAGAAGTTATAGGTGTTCAGCAGGAGAAGCAACTATTTCCATGATTTAGATCATAGGTCATGTCTGAGAGATCCCAGTAACATTGCCTGAAGTTCCAAACAAATATCCGAATGTAAAATAGGTCTATAGTCTGCATGAGTTGCTCATACAAATGTTTGTACACAAGTGCTTATTAGATAAGTATGAGTCCTTAGTTGCCATATATTTGGAAATCTAAAGCCCTGATGCTAAAATCAAAACTAATACGCGCGTGAATGCTCATAATGGACAAAATCAGGAGAATGGGAGTGTGATAAGGATACAAAATTGACAAAGAAGGAAATACCTTAGGAGGCTTAAATGGGTAATCTGGAGGGAAGTGAATGGTGACAAGGAAGACACCACCAGCATAGGGACTATCTGGAGGTCCCATTATGGTTGCTTGCCAATGAAACATGTCTTCAGCTACAGGACCTGTGATCGTTGCAGAACGTATCAACAAAGGAAGACTTGCGACTTCCATTTAAAATTATAAGCCCTAAACATTTATGAACATATATAAATGAAAGTCTTCACATATTTTTTAGCCCCTAATGTTGGGATGTTTTCTCAATTTAACCCCAATTGTTTAAAAAGCTTCAATTTAGTCTATTGTGTTGAAATTAGTTTTTGAATGTTACCCTTCCTACTAGTGAATGTTAGAATTAGTTGATGATAAAGACTATATGACATGATTAATTAGATAGTTTGATAAAAAAAAATTGAGGAGAAATTATGTCATCTAAGAGAGGAAAAGTCAAAATTGACAACTTCTTAGAAATTTGGAGGAATTAGAAGTTTCCTAGTTTAGGTGGCCTAATTCATCCTATCATTCGATGTAAGCCTAGCATCAACCAATTCTAACATTCACCAGTGAACATAGTTAAGATACGGGGGCTAAGAATGGAAATATGTCTTTGAAAAGACTACAGAAAAATTACATATATACCAAAAGTTTCCTGGAGGCTGTAACTATTGATTATCCATGCCGTTTCAAAGGAAATGCGTTTTCAATCTCATTCATAGCACACAAAAACACCACTAGAAATTAAAATCAGAAAGCATCGTAATTCAAACCATCATGAAATTACAAACACATTTTCAACACCAATCCAAGCAGAATCTTCTCAATCAGATCAAAAC